TATGCATGGTGTGGTGTCCGTTTTCTGCCACCTTGAACTTTTCCATACAACCGTATATCCAAAACATGCGGTCCTGAGTGCTTTGGGCTGTGGCGAGCATGCTGAACCAGCTAAATTCCGTTTGCTTCGACACCCAACATTTGCCTAGTCCGGTGCACGGGACGTCGTCGCCGTGAAGGCCGACTGGCACACACTTGCTGCGAAAATCGCTTCTGGTTTTGAGTGGGTGATCTACAACCCCAGGGTGATTGGCCACTGAATCCCAGAAAGCTGGAATCTCGGAGGCATCTGGCACCATGGACTTCATCCAGCCCTCGCCGTACTCATTGTACAAACTGGCGAAGGTCTCATGCGGGAGGAACATCGCCTGTGGTTGCTCGTTGAGCGGCGACTTGAAAGGCAAGTTCGCAACGGTGGGTGGAGGTAGTTTAGCACCTGGTTCCACCAACTTCATGAGATCTTCGTGGCACTTGGACGGGTATCGTCCACTAGAGCCGATGCCAGCGAGCTTGACCAAATCCTCTGGGATATCCTCCGGTCGAGCCGCCTTCTTGAAATCCTGCACAGTCAAGCTCGCTAGCTTTTGAACTTGCTGTGGTGAGTAAGATCCCCAAGCGAACTCGGACACCAAATGTTGAGCGAGTGCACTTGTACCAAATCCAGCGGCTTGTTCATCTTGTTCTCGTTTCCGTTTTCTCTGCTGTATTCCTCCAGCTCTCATGGTTCTTGACAAGCACACATATACGGTCGGGGTGAAACGAAAAAATCTCTCAATGTATAATCACAGGTGTGGGAACCCTTGCTGTAGATACCTTCGAGAGACCTTGAGAGCAACTATATAGGGTTTGAGGTTTAGGTGCCTTTAGAGCAAGTGTGTGGGTTGCATATATATCCATATAACTATATATACATATAAAAGTATTACCTTGAGAGCTTTTCTGGGTTCTGTAGAGCTTGTGGGGTTTGTCTACATAGGAAACCTTGAGAGGGACTGGGTTCTACGGAGTTTGAGATTTTTACCTATGTCTGTGTAAATACCTTCAAAAGACCTTGAGAGCAACTGTAGGGTTTGAGGCTTATAGGGACCGTGAGAGCAAGTGTGGATCGTATGTGTATGTATATATACACTTTTATATGTTACCTTGAGAGCATCTGGGTTCAATTTAGTGTTTGTCTACATGCATGAAATATTGAGAGGAACTGGATTCTAGGGAGTTTGAGGCTTTTTTGTCTATGTATGTGTAAATACCTTCACAAGACCTTGAGAGCAGCTGGGTCGTAGATCTACTTATATATTTAACTTGTTTCTCGAGAACATTGCTATTGCTCTACTTTACACTATTATATTTTATCATCACAATATATTGCAAATTGTTAAACTATATTCTCGCTTTATGTTATTTAACGAAATCTTCAAGGATCGAAGTCTCTTGGTCGGAGCCTTTGCATACGTGCCGGGAAGAAACATCTCCGATAAAGGTGTTGGTGGTAGGACGAATGACCTGGACAGGCAAGCGGTTGGGGCTGAAGCTTGCCCCATGGGGTGTATTCCCGCATCAATCGCACACCGGCCCACACCAATAGGAGACTAGTATGAAATCTCGGGCTGATACATTAAACAAATGAAACCTTGTGTGAGCCTTGTTTGAGATAGGAAAACCAACAACCCAGCGATGCAAAGGAATGTGTAATCCTGTACACCACCCCGAAACTCAATACAGTATCTTCTGGTGCTGAAACATGTAGCTTGAAACCTCGAGCTTTGTAGCGAAACTCCATACATACATAAGTGAAACATTCCATACATACAAAGTCTTCTCACACTGAATGGACCCTGAAACCTCGTGCTATGTGCTGAAACTCCATACATATACAAAGCCTTCTCACACTGAAACATGGACCCTGAAACCTCATGCTATGTGCTGAAACTCTATACATACAAAGTCTCTTCTCACACTGAAACATGGACGGCGAAATCTCATGCGATGTGCTGAAACTCCATACATACAGAGTCTTCTCACACTGAAACATGGACCCTGAAACCTCATGCTATGTGCTGAAACTCCATACATACAGAGTCTTCTCACACTGAAACATGGACCCTGAAACCTCATGCTATGTGCTGAAACTCCATACATACAGAGTCTTCTCACACTGAAACATGGACCCTGAAACCTCATGCTATGTGCTGAAACTCCATACCTACGAAGTCTTCTCACACTGAAACATGGACGGTGAAACACCGAAACATGGACCCTGAAACCTCACATGCTATGTGCTGAAACTCCATACATACATAGTCGTCTGAGAAACATGGAGCCTGCAAACTGCTTTTCCTACCGAAAATGCATACCTGAAACATTGAGCCTGAAGTCTGCAGCTATATATGTGAGTTACACATGAATCAACAGCCACCCTCAAACTACATCCTGCTGCTGAGTCTTTGGTCTTTGGCACACATACAGATGATGCCTCAGTCGATTTGCCAAGCGAGCGAGCACAGGCGCTAAAGCCAGGCAGCATTCAAGTACCCTCCAGGTACATGCGACAAAAGAGTAAAACTGGCCCTCGAGTTGATGCCACCCTCTGGGTTCTCACAGTGTGTGTGTGTGCTCTCATAGCTAGAAACACAAGCAACAAAGCTCTGGGTATTCAGGATGTTCCATAAAAGGGGATATCAGGGCTGTAAGGGCTTATAAACAGACAGTGTAGACACAGTTTACACATAGCTACATGTTCATGTATGGCATGCACATGACACAGACACCAAAACGTGAGACCGTGTGGCACCCCTATACGGAGCAATGAGCCTACTTCTTGGTAGTCTTAGAAGCAGCTCTCACAAGACCTTTGGAAACCTCGATGAGCTCGGTCTGGGCTTGGGTTTGCTCTGTGATCTCCCGGATGAAGTTGTCTAACCCGGACCTCGTGACTTCCTGCTGGCAGGGCAAAAGGTTGAACTTCAACAGGTGCTCGATGGACAAAGCGGCGGATTGGGCTTTGGCATAGCTGCCTGTCAACTCCTTGACCCTGGCATCCCCCAATGCACCGGGGTTGTTCCTGGTGAGCTTGAGTGCATCCGTTGCCAAGCGATTCTGCGACTGCAAAGCGGCATTGAGCATCTTGATCGTGTCCTTGGACATAACCCCATCTTGAATCGGATCATCCTTGCAGCGATCCCACCCCCAGTTCATCTTCCGCATGATGTCAGCGATGACCTCTGCCTGATCATGCCTGCCCTTCTTCTGCCGCTGAATGCCGTTGGTCTCACTTCGGCCCACCTCCCTGCCCACAACCATCTCCTTGTGGCACCAAAACTTTCGACCCTCGCCATCCTTGGTCTCAAAGATGTCACCGTCCTCGTAGGCCTGATCCATGGCAGCTTGGTTGCCTTGGAAGTACTGCCAGAGAAACACTGACTTCGGCAACCCTTTCTCCTGCTCCTTGGTGAACTTCTTGTCGTAGATGTCCAAGGACTGTTGGAAGAGTGGATCTGCTGTGTTCAGGTCGAACCCGCCGTCGGATCGCTTCTTGAAGACCGTATTGATAACTGTGGTTTGGTGCTTTCTCTTGCTGGTGCCGGCCAGCGTTGTAGAGCTCGAGCAGGTGGTCAGGCAGCTGCTTTTTGTCGGCCATCTTGGCCCACTTTTCACCCTTACCCTTGTCACGTTTCTCCTCGCCCTTCTCGCCGTTGGTCAAGGCCAAGGTTGTAACCTTTTTAGGGTCCTTAGAGGAAGAGGAAGCCAAGGCTGCACTGGGCCGCTTCATCTTGGGTGCCATGGCTGTCAGGCTCTACGTAGGAAGCAGGCACAACTCAACTCGCGGTTTCGCCAAAGGACTTCCACGGCATGTGCATGTGACAACACAACATGACAACATGAAAGCCGTGCAAAGCAAGCACACAGCCAACACAGCCGTGCAGTGTGCTCTCAGGGTGCTCTCAAGGTCCTTGCTCTAGTACTAATACTACTATACTATACTACTACTATACTACTACTATACTACTATACTATACTATACTATACTACCACTACTACTACTACTACTACTACTACTACTACTACTACTACTACTACTGCTACTACTACTACTACTACGACTACTATACTACTATAATAGTACAATACTACTTCTTCTACGTTCGAGTATACCCAATACCCAGTACCCACGATACTTGTATTATACCTACTGTACCTACTATATAGTTGTTATCGGATACTCCCATAGGATCGAAACACTTTTTTCTCGCATATCCCTCGGAACTTGATGGATGTAGCTTTTGTTGCGGCTGCAGAGGGAGTGTCTAGGCTAGATCACGAGACAGTTGGGGATCGAAGCATTTCGCAGGATGTGATGACCGACAGCCCACAATGCTCTTCAGTTTCCGAATACCAGACAAACGAAGTACCGGATGTCGGGTGTCGATTGAAACCGACTAGACAATGATTTTGTTCTCCAGGACACCAATAACTCATAGGAATTTCTAGACTGTGGACCACTGAAGCATGTAAGTTTCGTAGAAAGCACAACACCATACCATCGAAGTTTGATCGAATTTTCGACGGAATTTCGACATGCTAGGTCGAAGTTTGATCGAAGTTTCGACGAAACTTCGACCCCCCAAGGTCGAAGTTTCGACACCTCCAAGTCGAAGTTTCGACACCCTACCGGTCGAAGTTTCGACACCCGAGGTCGAAGTTTGTAAGTTGTGATATTACAATTCACTGTAAGGGTAGCACTTTTAGCAAATTGGTGTCGAAGTTTCGGCTCGAAACTTCGACCTAGGGTGTCGAAACTTCGACCTGGGGGGTGTCGAAACTTCGACCTGGGGGGTGTCGAAACTTCGACCCGGGGGGGTCGAAGTTTCGACGAAACTTCGACCAAACTTCGACCGAGTCTGGTGGATCACTTGCATTTATTGAACTGATTTTCCGTTCCCTGCTGCTACACGGAAACGAAAAAATCAAGCGAGCCGGTACCACAACAACAAAAAAATGTCCTTACTCTTTGCTCCCTTCTTTCTCTCTCATGGTTTCTGTCTCGCTCAAAGTCACTCTCAGAGTCGCTGCCGGGCAGCCGGTGGGAGAGGCGAAGAACCTGCACACAGGGACGGTAGGTTTAGAATTAAAGAACCGCACGAGCGGCTTTGTGTGTTGCAGGTTTGAAGTTCTAGGGTTTCGACAGATCTAAAGGTTTGAGATTTGTCTGTTTTGGTGTTGTAAGGTTCTAGGTTTTCGGCAGGTTTAGGGGTTTTGGCTTTGTAAGTTTCAGCCAATACAGATGGGGCTGTTTTCTAATGTTCTGGGTTTCGACAGGTTTGGGGTATAGTATTTCTTGTGATAGAGGGCTTTCTGTGTTTCGGGTTTAGATAAGGTTCTAGGGTTTCGACACAGGTTTAGGGATTTGGGATTTGTATAATTCAGCCAAAGTCGTCGGAGGCTGGGCTCATAGAAGCTTGTGGGGATTTGGATTTAAGCTTCGGGGCCGCTTTCGGTAAAGTTCGACCATTGCCTGGGATATTTTGTTGTTTGCATATATCGACCCGAAAACCTTAAAACCCTGTAACCCTAAAGCCACCAAACCCTAAAACCCAAACCCTAAAACCCTTAAACCCTAAAGCCCTAAACCCTATAACCCCTAAACCCTCAAACCGTCTATATCAAGCCCTGAACCCTAAAACCCTAAACCCTTAAACCCAAAAATCTTAAACCCATTAATCCCTAAACCCTAAAACCGTCGATATCAAGCCCTCTAAACCCACATTTTAAAACCCTAAACCCTGAAACCCTAAATCCCTAAACCCTTATAATCCTTAAACCCTAAAACCGTCTATATCAGCCGACCAACCCTGTAAATAGATGAACACACAAGCACACCTCGACCCTGGTAACAAACAGAAGCCCGTGAACCCGACAACACTCCACACCTTAAACCCTGCAACACCGTAAGACTCTGAAATCCGGACTGCGATTCCACATCCTGAGGCTTTGGGGTTTGGGCGCTTTTGGGTCATAATTGTGTGCATGTGCAATCTATCTCTAGGTGAAAATTATTTGTGTATGTAGATGCACATATATATATACATATGTGTGCATACAATTTCAACACATTGTGACTTTGAGGGGGACCAAGAGAGTCATAGAGAGGATTTAGGGTTTAGGATTGTAGGGTCTTAGAATTATGATCTTACATTTATAAGGCTTTGCAGGTGTGGTTTTAGGGTATACAAGGGGTTTCTTTATAAAGGTCTATACAGGTGGGGGCTTATAATTTGAGAGCAAAACAGCACAAACCCTTGTTTCTCACGATCGGTGGTGTCGCGACCGATCCTTCCTCCTCCTCCGCCTCGATGGCGATCGCCTCCTCCTCCTCCTCCCTCTACTCCTCCTCCGCCGTGATCTCGATCTCCGCCGCCGTGTCCGCGATCGCGATGAGCTCGTGGAGGAACAGCTGCTTGAACCTGTAACACCATCATCGCTCACAGCAGGACTCGTCACCGCATGCTCAGCAAAAAACCTCTGCAGCTCCTCATCTCCAATCTCCTCCTCATCATAGCCATCACCCTCCACCATCGGAGGGGCTTCCATTGAAGCAACTGCAGCAGTTGAGCCATCACCCTCCACCATCGGAGGGGCTTCCATTGAAACAGCTGCAGCTGTTGGCACCTCCACCGTCGGAGGATTTTCCATTGTACCAGCTGCTGTCACCTCCACCATCGGAGGGGTTCCCATTGGCATTGGAGCAGCTTGTACCTTCGCAGCCGGAAGCAAATGAGCAGGTGGAGGACACTTCGGAGGTCTCGGAACCAATGGTACTGCAGCAGGCGAAGCCTTGACTAATGGTACTGCAGCAGGCGAAGCCTTGACCGATGGTACTGCAGCAGGCGAAGCTTTGCTCGATGTACCAGCCGTTGCATTATTCCTTGGCCTGGCGACCTCAGCCTGCACCGTGCCAACACCAGGAATAAAAGCATTGTTCAGCTCCAATGCCATATATGCAGCATAATCGTCGTCCCAGACACCCACATAAGCATTGCAAAACCTTGCATCTTGCATACGACCGCTTCTCACCAGCTGTATGTTCTCAAAGACCCAGCCTCGACTTCGCAGCTGATAGCCAAGAATATTGGTCGTGCAAGTGTTGTCCACATACTTCAGAAAAACTCGCGACATGGTTGAATTATCGTGCACACCGTCGGCCTATAGCAAAGTTTAGGGCTAAAGGGTTTAGGTTTAGGTTGTGTGGTGTATAGTGTGTGGGTTAGATTAGATTAGAGATGCCTAGGCCGAAAAAGGACCCGTCCTAAAGTGTCCAGGCTTGCAGGTCTATGCCCAGAGAGTATGAGAGTCTCGATAAAACTACTTGTTGTATATGTTCACAGTATGTCACTATTATGGCATATAATCGGAGTATATGTGAGGTCTAATATGATCATTATATGGTATACTATATGCAGGGTGGGTATTTCTCCTGTGTTGTATGTGTATCCTGTCCGATCTAGATTCAACATATAGCTGTGTCCATGTGTATAGCCTGACATGAAAACACACTCTCTCAGCACTTCTGGGCCTCCTGCTGCGAAACTGCAAACATGAACCGTGAAAGCCCGAAATACCCACCAAAAGAGACTATCGGGGACATTGGTTTAATAGGGGGTTGCATTCGGTGCATGATTCGGGGGTTGTTATTTCCTGGAGGCCTTCGGTATGAAATAGGGGTAACATGACGATGTTCATCATGGGGTGGTATAATCGTGACTTCGACTGTTGTGGTGCCACTTTGGGATTTAAAGCTGAGTCGGGGGTTTGTTGTGATTGGTATAAACCCCAACCCCGAACCCTTAAGCCCGAAACCGTTTCTATATATATATATATATATATATATATATAGGGGTATAAACCCCAACCCCGAACCCTTAAGCCCGAAACCGTTTCTATATATATATATATATATATATATACAGAAACCCACAACCCCCTCTCTCTCGCAGTCCAAACCCAAACCCTCAACCGTGTAATAAAAGGCTCCAGAACATCCTGGAAATTGGGATTTGGGGCTTGGCACTTGGGGTTTAAGGTCTAGGCGCTCATAGGGTTTAGGGTTAGGGGGTCCAGGGTTTTGGGGTTTTAAACTGCACAGAACGGATTGAATCTGATACAAGTATATAGCTTATATATATATAGGAAACAGAAGTGCAAATGCATATAGATAAATGATATATATATATATATATATTAAATAAAACATAATATGTATAGATACATTCATATATATATATATATATACATACACATAAGTATATAAGGGCTTGTATATGAGATTTGCTAGTCTAGCATCAAGCATCAACCCCAACACCACCATATGCTTCTAGACATCTCACTATCATCATCGCCACCCCCATGCTTAACCCGAAATCCTGGAATCCCAAGCCGGCCCAAAACCCAAGACCCTCATTTAATCCGGCCTCGAGTGGCCCACCACAGCCGACGATGCCGAAGTTGCACAGTCACACCTTTCTAGAGCAGGATGTGTGTGTGTGTGATGCTTGTGTGGTGTTGCTTTGAATTTCGCATTCCTCGAAGTCTGAATCTCTCAACCTACCGATGCTTTGCGACTCGATACACACAATGCTCTCATGGTCCACTCAACCTACCGCCGCTCGACAGAATGCTCTCATGGTCCACTCAAGGTTCACACAACATGCATGACAGCAAAGCTCACAGCATCACACAGCTCGCAACAGCCATTGATCACAAAGCTGCACTCTGATTTTGGGGTCGCCACCGAAGCAGCATACACACAGCTTCCACGAATCTGTCCACGTTGATCCTTCGCAGATGTATGGCAAAAAGCGCCCATCCTGCATGTCACATCTGATTCCGTGGAGGGACGAAAGCCCTCGCTTCTATAGCAAACAGGCCTCACACACATCTCCCATCTGATTCCGTGGAGAGACAAGCACTCTCGCTTCTATAAAAGCCACACAAGTGACCATTCCATGGGCTCAAAATCTGACTGTGCAAGCTACACAGTCTGCTCAGGAAATAAAGCGACACACGACTTCTTCTTATGCTTTTTTACTTAGAACTATTGTGTTTTCAAGTTCAAAACCCCATACAGAACTATGCAGCAGCATGCTCCACGGGCTTTGTGCACAACTGCATACGGTTCCTATCAAAGCAATCAGCACAAACGTACTATAGTCACTGCACTATAACACCTATCAACCAACATGTCTGATTGTGTGCACACACAGAGGAATCTAATCTTCAGGCTCCTTGTCAGCACCCTCGGGGTTAGCAGCATCAGCAGGACACTCAGAGTCATCCTCTCCCTCCATGTCCTTGAGCTTCAATTTGGCCCTCTTCTCCTTGGGATTCTCCGAGTCAAACTGATCACCTGCACGTTTGGCAGCAGCACGACCAAGTTCGGAAGCCGCCTCCTTCTCAAGACCCGCCTTCATTTGCCGATCTCTCTCGTTGTGGTAGGCTTTGGAGACCACTCGTTTCCGGATGGCTGTTCTGTCCATCTTCATCTTCTTCTTCTCTACACCATCATGCTCATCCTCGGGGAACTCCTCGGCCTTCACCGCAGACTCAGGCTCAGGCTTCACCTTAGTGTTGTGCAACTCGGGCTTCTCCTTCTTAGTCTTCTTCTCACCTTTGGCCTTCGCGGTCGCCTTGGATTTCGGTGTCGACTTTGGGCTCGCCTTCGATTTCGGGGTCGACTTCGGGGTAGCCTTGGCTTTCGGGTCCGACTGCTTAGACTTTGGGCTCTCCTTGCTCTTAGGGATCTCTGGGCTCTTCTTGGAGTGCCTGATTGCGGGAATCGTATCCTTCTCTTCGGAGATCTCGGTGGCTTCGCCGTCCGGGGACTCGATGGGCTTCTTGACCTTGCTTGGCGCTGAAGACCTGGACTTAGTAGGGATCGCATTCTCAGTCTTCTGATTCGCCTCGCTCTTCTTGTTCGCCTCTCCGTTCTGCTTGCCTTTCCCTTTCCCTTTCCCTTTCCCCTTCTTCTCAGGGCAGTTTTTGCGGAATATGATCAACTGGGCTTTGTTGTCCAAGGGCTCCACAGATTCGGCTTGGCTCAACAAAAAGCTGAAGTGCACGTCCATGGGGCTGCTGCTTGTGCTTGTTGTAGCAGCAGGTGGGGCCCGACTGCTGCTACTAGGTCCAGGAAGATCTTCGCTCTCTGCCTCTTCTGAACTTACTCTGCTCAGAACTCTGTCAAAGACTGCCATGGGGTCGAGCCGACGGAGGCTGGGCTTTGGTCTAGGGTCGTCTTCCAAGGCCAGGGGCCTTGCAACCGCAGGCCTTGCATCTTCAGGCCTTGCATCTGCAGGCCTTGCATCTGCAGGCCTTGCATCAGCGGCACCATCTGTCAAAGCAAGCATTCCCGGAGGAGGCTCGCTGACAGACTCCTGAGATCCGTCCTCTAGGACGGGACCACAATTCATGATGTCGAGGACATCCTGCACAGCCGTTTGCTCAGCCGCTGTCATCATAGCAAAGCACCGCTGCTTGGTCTTGGCTTCCACCTTGAGGCACCTGAACATGGCACACCCGATCCTGATGCCTTCATCAGTCAAATCGATGAAGTCGTTGTCCGATTTCCGAGTGTGATTAATTTTCTCCTCCTGCTCGTTCATTTTGGCCAAGGCTGTTCTGACCTTCTTCGGGCTGAGCATACCGTTCGGAGCGAGGAGCATGAGCTCTTTGTAGAGGTCGGCAGCACCCGCCATCCAGGAGCCTATCGGGGACTTTTTGAAGGTGAGCCCGCGAGGCAAGTTCAAGGCCTTGAAGAAATCCGTAGTCTTTCGGGATTTCAGCCACTTGCTGAGCACACCTGTGATATCTTCCACACCGATCGTGGGATCGGCGACCAACCGTCCCGTCTGTCCGGTGAGAGCCATGCTGCGGCAGCAGGGCAGCTGTACAAAAAAGCTTGTGAAACCGAAAGCGGGGTCGCTATACTTACTACCGAGCACAGAAAGCCCGAGTCCTGCCGGCAACATGTGAAACACAGGATTCAGACCTCTCAAGGTCGTTTACAGATTGTGTCCCCGCAGACACAACTGCTCCTAGCCCTCGAGGTAAACACTCTCTGTGCAACACTGAACTTTCAAAGTAAAAACTCTCTGCACAACACACTAAACTCTCAAGGTGTAAGATATATGTGCTGTCAAAGTCTCACACCTCTCTCAAGGTCATCTACATATTCCCTCCAACTGCTCAGACACGTGCAAATTCAATCTCTCAAGGTAAATACCCTTTGTCAACAGCAAAAACTCTCATGGTGTAATATATCCTCTCACAAGGTCTGACACACCTCTCACAAGGTCACATCTACATATATTCCCTCCACAACTGCTCCTAAACATGCAAAAGTCTCACATACCCTTGTTGTACAACACTAAACTCTCAAGGTGGGGTATACTCTCAAAATTATAACACACCTCTCAAGGTCATCTACATATTCCCTCCAACTGCTCCTAAACATGCAATGCTCGAGGGTATATATACCCTCTGTTCAACACTAAACACCCTCATGGTCAGTATATTGCATATGGCTCTCTTATATAAGGTTTCTCTCTACTCTATGAAATATATAACTGTCGGGGCCCGTTGTGTTTGCTGAAGCTGTTTACATATGTTCTCAACCTGCTCTATACTCTCTAAAAAGTGTTCAAGCTGCATTACTCTTTAAAACCTACATATATTCCTAGTGCCGAAAATCTCACTCATAGACTTATATATTCTGCATGCGACCACACCTGGTTCCATACCACATGCTTTTGTCCCGCATCATAGACCCGCACACACACACACACACAGACACACACACACACACACACGGTGTCAATTGTTGGTTTCGTTCACACCCAACTCTCAAGGTATATGCTGGTGTGTGCCAAATATAGAGCCAGCATGTATAGCAAAGGCATCTCAGGACCCAAAAACCGGGTCGGTCGTCTCGGAAAACAAAACTTCGCTATCCCCCAACAAAATTCACCACATGCTGGAAAATCAAAAGCTTCGCGAATATAATATATATATATATATATATATAGAGAGAGAGAGAGAGAGAGAGAGAGAGACAGACAGACAGACAGACAGACAGACAGACAGACAGACAGAGACCAAAAAACAAAGAGACAGAGAGGCAGAAAGACCGACAGAAAGAAAGACAAATATATATACATATATATCTTGCTATACACCAGAGAGGGGTCGAAGTTTCGACCCCCGAGGGGTCGAAGTTTCGACCCCTGGGGGTCGAAGTTTCGACCCCTGCCGGGCCAGACCTAGATCCAAAATCGCAGGAATTCGGGAAGTGTGATTTTGGATATAGATCCAAAATCACAGGTCGAAAATAAAAGTGTGATTTTGGATCTGGGATCCAAAATTTTGCGCTGTGATTTTGGAGAACTTGACGCTGGGATTTTGGATATCATATCCAAAATCACAGGATAAGATAAATATCTTGAATTCCTGTGATCCAGGAGATCCTCCGGTCTTCTGGTCAAGATAACTTTCGGCCTAACCCGGTCTATGGGGTAGGTGTACATCACTGCTAGAATAATTTGTACAGGATCGTCGCTAAGTACCTCGTTCAAACATCGCTGATTTTAAAGAAGGGCATTGCGCAAAATGTGGGAACTACTCCAGAGTGGAGTCTCCATAAATAGTGCAATGAAAGCGGCCAATAAGATATGCAAGGGCCTCCTGCTCCTGCCGTTCTCTCAAGAGATGCTTATACAGTGGAAGCAGCACTTTGATGGCCTCCTCCGGGGGAGCTCGCCTGGCCAGCTTTTCATTGGCTTGATCGCGAATAGAGACAAGGATAGGCACGAATGTGCCATCCTGCAGACTGGAGACAACCATGCGTGGAAGGCGTTGTAAGAGCGGTCGTCTATGTCTCGTTTGCGCTACCACACCCCCCAATGCCATAAGGGCGAGGTGAGGTTCATAACGCAGCAGAAAGCCAAGGCGATTGGCCGGTGCATCGAAGAACCAGGAGCCTGGCTGAGGCAACTTAAAGATCCTAAATGTTCCTTCTAAGTGTTTCGACTGAAGCCAGGCGCGACTACCCAGGACGAATTGCGCATTCTTGGCTAGGATACGTTCTTGGGTGGTCGGAATTGGAGGGATGACCTGCTGTGTATAATGTAGGCAACTCGACAGGTAGGCTCTACAACACAAAGCCCGCTCCGGGAGCGATTGCCGTAACGGTGCAAACAGCCGTCGTTTGCGTGTAATGCTCGAGAGAGCCTTATTTCCCGTACGCTGACGCTGTTGTACTGAGAGGATCGACTGTCGCGCTAGCATTCCCCCCAATCTCGATGGGAGCTCCCGAGAGAGAGAACCCAAGCACAGACGCTTGGTCCGTGCAAAGTTTAGGCCCCCATGAAGTCCGATCAAGCTTGAGGAGCTGGTCCTCGGAAGGTGACACTCGGAACAAAAGGGACGATTTACACTTACAGTTACAAGGGGAAGATAGCAGGGTGGTCGGCGCCGCTGCAGCCTCTCGGGTTTGTCCCTCAGCGTAGGAGTCGAGAATGTGGCGCGGCACTAGCGCCGATCTATCTCCCGCCATGCAAAGAAACCATTCGATAGTAGGGCCCAAAGGTGTACAGTGTAGCGCCCGCATCCGTTGGCTCCAAGCAGAGAAGCTGGGCAATCCCTCATCACATGCCGGATGTGGGCGCCAAGTAATTTGATTGGCCTCGTCGTCAGTTAGCAGGCGGATCCCCTCCGCAGCATTGAGCGTGCGAGCGAGGCTACCAAGATCGGTGGCACGTCCGCCAGTGAAACAGGTATGCTGCAGCACGTGGAAACCTGCCTCCTTGAGTGCAATGAAGTTTTGCTGAGCTTGGTCTATCCACCCAACATCGCTGCCTTCCGTAGAGATATCATCCATGTACGCCCTGAGTAATCGCACACGGGGAATGCGGTGCAGGCTGCAAATTAGAGGGTCCATGGCGATGCAAAAAAAGAGGACGGAAGTGGCTCTGCCCATCGCCAAGCCCTGTCGCATGCGCAAGGGGGGAAGGAGGAAGCCTTGAATACGATGCAGAGAACGCCGCCCATATAAGAGATGAGCTGCATATTGGGACACCCATTGAGGTACAGACAAACATCTGAGAACGTCCAACAGCCATCCCGGATTCACTCGCTCAAAGGCATTGGCAATGTCAGTGAGCATGACTACAGAGTCTGAGTCCTGCGCCCATAACGCATCCTGCATGGTGAGAAAGTTGGCAGGTGCCTCCTTCATAGCCGATACCAAAGCTTGTGATTGGTGAAGAAGCGGGCAGATGGTATGCATAAGGCTGGTGAAAACGGCCGAGTCGATGATACGAGCAGCCGTATCAGGCATGTCGAGGGGCGAAAGTTGTCCGCATAGTGTCCCGAGTCGGCTTTGGGAATGAAGGTGAGCGCCCGTGTAGGTGGCGGCGCTCTACCGAAGATAATATCTCCGAGATGTCGCTCAAGCGCAGCTGTGGATTCCAATGGTAAATTACGGTAGCATTCATAAGGGCAACCATCCGGGCCTGCTGCGGAATCGCCAGTGCGTAGCAGATGCTGCAGTATGTCGTCGAAGCTGGGCACTCGACATCTGGCAGCGCTGGAAGGCGTGTAGTCATCAAGGATACGATCCCACTCGCGACAATGGTCAGGCGGCATTTGCTGCCAGAAAGCACGGGTGTGCCTAAGAGCACGACCTCCCCCAAGGACTTGCAAGGTTGCCCTGAAGGGAGCAACACTTGGTTCACCCCAAATGTGCCAAGAGTCGCTCGGTGTAAGTCCCACCGGGGGTGCCTGGCAGGTAACTTAGAGCCTAACCTTCTAGCGTCGCCGATGGCAGGGGGTGGCATAAGTTGTGCCACTTCCATGACTGTGAGTTGCGCAACAACCTGCTGTAGTTCAACCTGCGTGATAATCCCCGCGTGGCCATCTGTAGTAAATTTACAATGGCTTAGCAAGTGACGAATGGTATCGAAAATGGGACTAGGGATCTCAAACGTCTCAACAGTCGGCTTAGAGCGCTGCCGCCGCAGTAGGTAGGGCAAAGCTCCCAGCAGTCCATCACGAACCGCATCCGACTGCGTGGGTAGCTCTTGTTTCCACCAAATGTGGAAGAGGCTTTGCAGATCCGAGAGGGAAGGGCTTCGCGGTAGGAGACAGGCCATACGTTGCAGCCTGATTTGCGCCTGGTGTGAACTACATGCGGGAATGCCCGTAGCAGGCTGCTGTAGCTTCTGTTTGAAGGCACGCACAGGGATTGCGGAGTACTTAACTGCCTGCACGTCATTGACAAGAAGGCGCGCCTTCGAGGCTCGGAGAGTGACGACAGCATGCCCGCTAGGCAAGTGTTTAGACCAAAAAACCCTGCTTTTAAACTTTGTCGCTCCCTCTGCGTGCTCGTTGTGCAGGATAATGTCAAGCTGCGAGGCGTGCGCGCTTGATCGATAGGTATCAACTCGTAGGGAGACCTGTCGCAATAAGCCCTCCGAAATCAAGAGATCCCATGCATCAGGCTGCTTGCTGCTCATGCCATTGCAGTCACCAGCGACAAAAAGCTCAATTCCTGCATGCCGTGTTGTTAAGTAGCATTGAATCGCTGAGGCAACTTCTGCTAAGCGCTGCGGGTGCGCATATACGGATAAGATCTCACATTTGTGCTCAAAATGTGAGATCTCAGCCGCCAACACAAAGCCTGGGAGGATCTCTTGCTGCTTGTCAACCCGGAAGGGGGGAGGTACAATGATGGAGACACCCGAGCTGCCTTCCCCGGTGGCGAGTGTGCTGAGGATAGTTGCTCTCGGGAATGTGACTGCAGCGATCTCAACATCGCGTGCCTTCCAATTGGTCTCTTGGAGGCATACCGGCCCATGTTTCAGCAAGGAAG